GTGCTGCAGAACAGGAACCTGCTGTAAAACAGCAATTATGCTGAGTCAGGCTTGATAATCTTTTCCTGTTAAGTCAATAAATCAAATCAATTTGAATATTGACATTTCCCAGCTGAAAATAAACTAAAACATTGTAGCTCACAGGAAATATCTTAAAATTTTAAGGCGTTTTTCSTCAAAACCAGATTTTTCGTTGCTACTGCTCAAAAAAGTACTTCAAAAGTTTTTTGTAATGATTTATATTTCACACAGTTCATTCAAATGGAACATTGATTAGGTATTTATTTGTTATATTTTGACAAAATGCAATTTTTGTAAGTGTTTTAATCAAAACATATTTGCTTATTTCTCCATACACCACTTTTAGACTTAATACTCGTTTTGATGTGATGGATCACTTATGTTTTAATTWTCTTAATTTGAACAGACAGAAATAAGCAGCTGCACAGCACAGTATTTGTCCACACCATTAGTACAAATAACTACATACCGCATCATTTAAAGCTCCCATGTTGAATAATTGTTGAGTTATAAACATTTGTGTATGTCCAGAGATGGGGTGGGACCCATTGATAGCCCCTCATCACAGCTAATGATGTGAGCTTGGAGTGAGATTTCAGGCTGCTGACCYGTGGCCAACTCCTCAGTAAGGACAGTCTCTATTGGCTGTCCTAAAAGCTCTTTAATGATGTCATCGTCTATAATTAGCATGTTTGGATTTTAGTTGAGAAATTGTGATTTGTAGGTAATTAATGTTGGAGAGAACGGTGTAAAAACACTAAATATGTTCAGAACCACAAATCAAGTTATCACAGCTGTTTTCTATAAGCTTTAATAAGTAGGCTACTCTCAGCTACTACCAGTCTACTTCTGAAGCCTCATGCAACACCAGCTGCTCCCACCATGGTTTACTGAGCAGGGTGGCATATGTTCAGGGTTTTTTTTGCTGATGGTGTCTCAGTAAAATAAATTTGGACCTGGCTACATTTGACTCACAACTAGGGCTGCCACGATTAGTCGATTAATCGACGACTAATCAATTATTAAAATAATCAAATAATTTAATTATCGATTAATTTTTTTTTGTTCTTTACTTTGTTTTTCTCTCCAAACTGCTTTGACACCTTCCACTGCCAC